CGGGGGTCAGCCAGAGCGCCAGATCCCCACCCCCCAATCGCCGCCACCGTGATTGCCACCCGCCGCGCTGCTACCACCAGCATCGCCACCTCCCACCGACCGACCACCCACCATCTACGACCTGCGCTTTGGGACCCACTGCCCATCGACACACCGCCGACCGCCCGTAGTTCCCCCCACCCCTAGCACTTGGCTACGCGCTTAGTATTTTGCCCCCCGCGAACCTCGAAAGCCGTGCGCCAAAGGTAACTCTCGCCGACAGTCCGAGGAGGGCCGCTTGTGACAACGGTAGTTGGCCTTCGGGAGGCCCCCTCGTCGCCACGGCTGGACGCAGCTCGGGAAAGTGGTGCGTTCGGACTCCAGGAGGGATTCGGGGACCGATTTTGAGTTGCTTGTGTCTTAACTCGCCATGGTCCGACATAGGGTATGTGGGGGTGTAGGGCCACGCTTGCATGCAGCCGACAAGACCCGGAGAGGAAATAAGATTGCCTTTGTTCGGGGCCTAAGAGACGGGGGTCAGTGCAAACGGGGTCAGCCAGGGCACCGGATCCTGCAGGATCGTGCGAAGGCCCCCTCTGGCTGACCCGGGTTAGCGAGCCGCTCGTGGCCGCGAGGCGGCCGCACATGTTGGCTGACCCGGGTTTGCGAAGACCTGCGTTGGAGTTTTTTTTCTTGCATTGCAGTTTTTGGTTTCCTGCTGACCCGGGTCTGGATTGACCCGGGTCAGAAGATCCCCGACGACTACACGTACGTCAAGCTGTGGCGAGGCGTCATATCTCACTTATAGGCCCACCAACTAATGTTCTAAGAACCTTTCTGTGGTTTGCACGGGCTGATCTTCGAACATGTCTGGCTGTGACTGTCGTGTCTTAACACATGGGTTTGACGATCTAAGAACTTTGTTTTTGTTCTTAGAACATTTCGGGGCTCTAGGAACATGTCGTGGTGGGCCTAATGCCGGGACGGTCGGTCTAGGCTCAAGTAACAGTGACCCTTCGCAGGGCTTACCTTGGTTATGGGGAACAACCTGGAGGCCGCGCGCGGCGCGTAATAGCTGTATTATGTAGTCCACACGTCTATGGGTCGAGGCTTGCGCGGCGATGCTCCGGCGTCAGTCCGGCGTAAATCCGACGTAGTCCGTCGTGAACCCGACGTAAATCCGACGTGGATCCGACGTACATCGGGTCTTAAGAAGCCGCGCGGGGCCTCCAGGATTTTCCTCACAGCGCTGGGTGCGAGCTCACCCGGGACCCCCCCGGTCGCTGAGCGCGATGCGATAAAGGTCTTTCTTGCTTAGGGTCACTCCTGCGTGCAACGTGTAGCCAGCACTGTTTTTGATCCGGGGGGTCCAGAACCCGCAATATTCACTAGGGTCAGGCAACGCGCAATGGGGGGGCGATCAGGGGGGGCAACCGAGCTCTGCAGAAAAGTGCCCCTGCAGGGCCCCCAAATGGGCTTTTCGGGCCCAAAGGGGACCCCTAGAGCTCGAGAAGTGTTCCTTTCTTCCCACCCTCCATTTATCGCCCCCTCCCATTCAGTGACGCTCAACAAGGGATGACACTGTCTTTGATCCAGGGGGTCCGGAACCCGCCGTGCTCGCCATAGGGGCACGGATTCTGAGGGAAAGGGGTCCTGAGGTTTGTCGCCGTTTTCGGGCCCTCGGGGCCCTCCACGGTCCCCGGGACTGTCAGAAAACAGCTCAGGATGAAGAACTCGCCCTGTGGGAAGGCCCCAGGGTCCAGGACCCGCTTCTCTTAGGACCCGCTTTCCCAGTGCTGACATGCTTGACAACCCGGATCCAGAGCGATGGTTTCCTGCATGCTCGATGTACATGTTTCATGCTGGACTCTAAGGGGTGCAGTTAGTTGTTGAAGAGCTCAGAGTCGTCATATTCAGTTGTTGAACAAACATGCCAACCCACCAACCCGCAGCTCGGTCGCAAGACTCACCTCGCGCAGTCACGCGACAACCCTTACCTTACACATCCATGACTCTGGCGAGCGAGTGATCATGGTGACGACGACATCGACGACGACGATGCGGATGCGGATGAGGATGAGGATGATGATGATGAAGATGAGGATGAGGATGAAGATGATGATGATGATGATGATGAGGAGGATGATGATGATGATGACCATGAGGTTGACGATGACGATGACGATGATGCTGATGCTGAAGATGATGGTGATGACAATGATTATGGTGATGATGATGCTGCTGTTGCTGACGATGATGTTGCTGATGCTGATGATTACGATGACGATGTCGATGATGCTGATGCTGATGATGATGATGCTGATGATGGTGATGATGCTGATGATGATGATGGTTGTGATGGTTGTGGCTATGGTGACGAGGGCGACGATAACGATGATGACGATGACGTTGATGGTGATGATGCTTACGACGACGTCGGCGATGCTGATGAAGATGGGAATTTTGATGTGACGACGATGGTACTGATGCTGGCGATGATGATTGCGATGGTGCTCTTTCATTGTTCCCTCATTGAGAGCAGCGTGGTTTCACATGTCTCGTGGCCACATCCATAGAGACATATAGACAGATATATAGAGAGAGAACGAGAGATATATAGTTTGGATCCATAGAGACAGATAGACAGATAGAGAGAGAGGGAGAGAACGAGAGAGATATAGTTTGGACTGGTGAGGAACCACTGATGGCGCAAGGATCTCGACATGCGCACGCGGGGCCGCGCACGTGTGGCCCGTGTCGGTGTGCGTTTCTCCTTGCCTCCTCCTGCAGAACTGCACGACAGTGCAGCACGGCCTGCTCACGGTTGCAGGGAGAGTGTGCCTTTAGCAACCACCTCTACAGTCGGGTTCCATTAGTAGGTCGGCCCTGCGAAATCAAGGGTGCTCTTGTATCCTGTGCATCGCGCGTCGTGTCCTCTGCGGCCGAAGGGCAGGGTACCCTTGTGTCCTGTGGTTTTGGAGGCCATGTTGCCGTCGGAAGAGTCTTGTGTCCTGTCGCGCGTCCTGTGCGCAATAACCCGCCTGTATCTCAGAGGAGGAAAAGGTACCCATACCGCTACCCTTCCCTCGTTTTCCTCGTTTTCCTTTTTTGGGGCCTCCTGGGAGGCCCTCGTCGCCACCGCTGGAACCGCCTCGACATTCTGGCCAGAACGCACCCCCCGGAGATTTCCGGCGAGTACAGTCGGGGCGCTGAACAAGGAACCCTTCTCGTTGGGGAGGGGCTCCGTGTTCCTTAATTGTTTCGCAGTCTGCTGTTTGCCTCAGGTTTTCCTTATGTATTCGATGGGGAATCGAAGTTTAACTTGTGGAAAAAAGAGGCCTCGTTCCTTATTTAGGATTCCTCAGGTCAACGCCCCGACTGTAGCGGTCTCGGTACGTTTTGGTCTCCCCGCTATCCACAAAGATCGCGTATTTGATTCGAGCTGCCGCTGACACAGTTCGACGTGCGCGCACGTGGAGCCCCTCGTGGTCTCATCTGTCGGGGTGGCCAGCGCACACGCGACCGCCACATGGTTTTGTAGCAAGCGCGCGAGCCGACCTGAGGAGTTTGGCATACCACACCAGCTTCTTCCTTCTATTCTGGCGATCGCAAACATGGATTCAGGGGGCGTGGATTAGCGACGGTCCCCGTTTCCATGGGAAATCGCGGATTTCCGCCGCCGAGCGAGGCGGCACCGGCCGCGTTTTGGAGAGGGCACCTCCCCCGATCCACGGATTTTTGGCGACCGCGCGCCAAATCCATGGATCGCGCATCCATGTTTGCGCGCCCCCGATCTATGTTGATCAAAAGGTAGCTATCTTGAAGTCCAGAGAGCTCGAGTGATGTTGCCGTGCGCACGGGGGTTCCTCCGCATGTGGCCCGCCCTGCTCTCTATTGCGGACTCGCCGGGCAGCCATGTGCAATCTCAAAACGAGCGTTGCGTGGATCATTACTTATGACAATGGCCTTCGGCCCATCCCGCTACCGTCTCAGCGGGTGCTGTGTGTGAAGTCCGCACATATCACCTTTCTCTCCCTCTGTCCTGCTACCGTCTCGGCGCATGTACTGGACAGCCCTGTCTGACAGGACCAGCGCCGCTCGCCTGCGGCGCATGGGAGAAGGGATCTCTCCCCTCTTCCGAATCGCTCTCTGCCCACGGACGTCTCAGCAGGTTCGACTCTTCGGTCGTTCACCTGCATCCACAGGTGCGGACGCATGGCGTGCCCGCGCCCATGTCGCCGCACCGCTCATGCGGATCGCGGCCCCGCTTGGAGGGCGTCCCCGCGCCCATGTCGGCACATGCAGACGCACGACGTTCTCGCGCCCATCCCTCGGCACGCCGCTCGCGAGAGTCTTGGCTGCAGGGGGAATGCCACCGACGGTTTCGGCGGGCGCAGGCGCATTGCTTCCCCGCGGCTATCTCGGAAGTGAGACAGGTGCTTTTGAAGGGCGGCATCACCACCGCGCAAACACAGTCAGAACGCTTTGCGTTGGGCCAGGGGGGGGTGCCACACCCGCCCTCCCGAGCGCACTCCTACAGCACTACCTTCGAATTTTTGTCCGCCCAAGCATTCCCCGTGGTCTTGCTCCTGCTGCCGTTCCTGCTCCTCCCTCCTGATCATACCCCGTCCGACGTCAGTGCGTCTTTGCGTCGCCATTTGTCAGGATCCTACCTCTGGACTTGCTCTCACGCGTACCGTGTCCGAATAGAGAGCTCCACTTTGGATCTCCGCAGGGGTCCTCGAATTCGGTCCCAAAACACTTTCGGCGCACCCCTCAGTTTGATCGCGCACTTTAGGGAGCACAGCTCGCCTGTGCGCGCCTGGTCCGCCGCCCCCCGCGGCGCGCTACCCAAGAGGAGAGGGCCATATCCCCAGTTATTCCAAGCTGCATAGAGTTGGGTCCTGTGTTCGGCGTTTTCTATGCTTTGCTAACTCTCCGGCGTTGTTGGTTCCTCGTTTGGAATCCTCACCTCCTTCTGCCTCTCCCCTCCTTGCCTCTGCTCTCCGCACCCCCTCTCCTGGCTCAGGCGTGAGCTACGCCCGTTGTGGCATCACGCAGGAGGCCGTTGCTGCCGAAGCCACTGCGTCGGGACCCCGCACAGGGTGGGCCCCACCGAAGTCCGGCGTGCCCGCGAGCTCTCCAGACGGCATGCCGCGCGCCCCGAGCACCGCGGCCCCCGCGGCCGAGAGCCGCCCAGCAGCCTCCAGGCTCCGCGTGGCCGTTGCCGGCGCCGGGCCTGGCGGCCTGGGCTGCGCCATCGGGCTGGCACGCCAGGGGCACGAGGTCCACGTCTTCGAGCGGCTCGACGCGCCAGCGGTGCGCGGCCTCGTCAGCCGCGAGCGCTCCTACCCGGTCGCCGTGGAGGCCCGGGGCATGCGCGCCCTGGAGAGGCTCGGCGCCGCGGGCCCGCACAGCGCGGTGCGCAGGCACATGCCGCAGCGCCAGGACTTCCACTTCGACGCGCTGATCGGTTCCCGCGACGCGCTGGTGCAGGGCCTGCTGGAGCACATCGAGGAGAGTCAGCCGACCTGGCCAGGCTCCTCAGAGGAGGGGCGGGCACCCGTGCTGCTGCGCCTCCCCCGTGGCCACGGCTGGATCCGCCTCGAGACCCGGGTCAGAACGCGCCCCAGGAGAGGGCCGAGGAGCAGAGGCATCGGCACCTTCTTGCTCCGCCAGGCTCGGTGCACATCTACCACTGCTGCGGCGTTGCCGGCGTGGACCTCCGCCGCCGCACGCTGGAGTTCGCGCCGGGCGCCGCCGCTCCGGGCGTCGAGGCTGCCGCGCGCGCCGCGCCCTTTGACCTCATCTGCGCCTGCGACGGAAGGAACTCGCCCGTGCGAGAGTCCGCCGTGCTGCAGGTCGCCGACCTGCAGGTCTCCCACCACGAGGATTGGACCAGGTACTCTGGGCCTCCCAAGTGGGGTCCGACGGTCCGAGTGATTCGATGGGGTCGGAGCATGGCGCCGTGTCGCGGTTGCATCGGCGATGCGGCTCGATGTGGAGCCCGTTTATCTCCACGTCGACGTGGCCGATGCATCGGCGATGCGGCGCGATCCTCCGACCCTGCCTGCTCGGATCTCACGTGGGAGGCCTCCAGGTACAAGACCGTCACCCTGGACCAACCGCGCGGGCTCGCGCCAGGGCGCATGCACTTCCTGGACGGGGTGCACGTGGCCGTGCTGCCCGACGGTACGGCCGTCGGCCGCATCGGGATGAAGGGCGCCGGCAAGGGCAGCGGCGCGGGGCAGCTGCGGCGGATGGGGCTCACCAGTCTGATGCCCTACGTCTCCGCGGAGGAGGATCGGGAAGCAGGCGAATACTCAGTAGGTTTGTTCGGAGGGTTGATTTGGAGTCGGGCTCGCAGTACTGCACGCCATGATGGCGCAAAGGGTGCGGTCCTGGGTGCCATGGTGAGGCCAGCACGACGCGATGTGATGTGGATGGGGCCTGCCAGTTGACTCGGACGGTCGCCGCCCTCGAACGAGCAGCGGATTGGCGTTCCGTATGATGGGAGACGGCCTCCCAGAGCAGCGTTCCATCCACCTTCCCATCTAACTCCCCCCACCCTCCAGCCCGAGAGGAGGCCGCCTTCGACTCGCGCCGCATCAACTCCGAGGGCGGCGGCGCGAACGCCTCGCGCCTGGTCGCGGGCGGCTGCCTCGCCCTCGTCGGCGACGCGGCCACCTCCTACGTCGAGTCCCACGGGGGCCACGGGGGCGCCAACCACGCGCTGGAGATGGCGGCGTCCCTGGCGGAGGCCCTCGCGGCCTGGGGCGGCGCCGACCTGGGGGAGGTGCTGCGCGCGTGGAGCGAGGCCCGGATGCCAGACGAGCTCGCGTATGCTCGGGGCCAGCTCGGGGGGCCGGAGGACACCTCGCCCTACCGTGAGCTGTCGGCGAAGGGCAAGGGCAAGGGGAAGGGGAAGGGCGGCAAGGGCAAGTTTGACGGCAAGAGTGGCCACGGTGCTCCGAGGAGGGAGAGAAGGCGATGCCACTGCTCGTCCTGGAGAGCCCCCTCGTCAAGATTTTTGTGTACCGCGCCCTCCTCGTCCCAGTCAAATCTCGCCGCCCGGGGCCGCGTCTAGCGTGCAGAAGCCACGCCGCAGGGAGGGACTTGGGCATACCAAACCCATGACCATGACCCCTGCCCACCCACCAGGGCCTTTTTGGATGTAGCCCATCTATATCTATCTATAAATCTATCTATATATCTATATGTATATATCTATCTATCTATCTATCTATATATCTACCTATATATATATCTATATATCTATCTATCTAGATATCTATCTATCTATCTATCTATCCATCTATCTATATATCTATCCTTCTATCTATACATATATATCTATCTATATCTATATAGCTATATATATATATATATATTTATCTATCTATCTATCTATATATATATCTATATATATAGATCCATCTATCTATTTATATGTATATATATATATATATATATATATATATCGATATATCTATATATCGATCTATCTATCTACCTATCTATCTATCTATCTATCTATCTATCTATCTATATATCTATATATCTATATATCGATCGATCTATGTATATATCTACATGTATATGAATATATATATATATATGTACCGATATATCTATCTATCTATATATATATATATCTATATATCTATATATCTATCTATCTATATATCTATATATCTATATATATATATATATCTATCTATATATCGATCTATCTATCTCTCTGTCTATTTATCTATATGTCTATCTATCTATCTATCTATCTATCTGTCTGTCTGTCTGTCTGTCTGTCTGTCTGTCTGTCTGTCTGTCTGTCTATCTATCTATCTATCTATCTCTCTCTCTCTATCTCTCTCTCTGTCTATCTATCTATCTGTCTATATATCTATCTATCTATCTATCTATATATATATATCTATCTATCTATCTTTCTATATATCTATCTATCTATCTATCTATGTATATCTATATATACACATATATATACATATATATATATATACATTGGGGGGGCGGTAGGAGCGTGGGAGCATGCGCCCGAGGGAGGTGTGGGGAGCAGCAGTGTCAGCACTTCTTGGCCCCCCAGGTTCGGGGGTTGGTAAAAGTGCCCCTGGTCCCAGGTGCCCCCAGCTTCTCGCTCAGTCTTGGGGCCCCTTGGGCTCCCTGGGCATCGTGAGTGGTGCTCTGGAGGCCGTGGGGGCCTCCTTGGAAATCCTGGGGGCACCTCGGGCCAGGGGCAGTTCTCGCAGCACCCGACAGGTGCAGGCGCGGCTGACGCCCACCCCACGCCCGAGCCTGGCAGCCGAGAGTTTGAGCCGCACTCCTGGGGCCAGAAGGGCTGGAGCGAAGGGCCCGGCGCTGGCTGGAAGGGCAAGGGCGGCAAGGGCAAGGTGGACGGCAAGGGCGGCCACGGTGCTCCGAGGATGGAGCGAAGGCGATGCCGCTGCTCGTCCTGGAGAGCCCTCGTCGCCACGGCGGGGCTCTCGTCGAAACTCTGGTCAGGATGCGCGAGGTCCGGGGAGCAGCGGTGCCCTTACCTTTTGGTATCTTTTGGGCCCCCGCAGGTGCAGGCGCTGCCGACGCTCACACCGCGGTCGAGCCCAGCAAACAGGATCTCGACCCGCAGTCCTGGGGCCAGAGGGGCTGGAGCGGAGGGGACGGCGCCAAGGGCTGGGGCGCCGGCTGGAAGGGCAAGGGCAAGGACTCCAAGGAGAACATTGCCCATAGCGTTCACTTCCAGAAATCCGCGCGGATTTCCTGGATCGGCGCTGAGCCCCCCCGGCGGCGCCTCCAGCGCCGCCTCTGGCGCGCGGAGCGCGCCAGGAGGGGGTCACAGCGCCGATCCAAGATATCCGCGCGGAGTTCTGACAGTATTTTGTTTGTGGCGCTTTGTCTACGTATCCTTAGTATGGGGTTCTTTTAAGGGTGCCTTGCTTCCGTTTCCTTCCTGCCCCCTCTCTTCTCAATTCAGACTCGTTCACACCAAGTTTCACTCACACTCCGACACATTCACAGTCAGGCTCACTGACATTCACACACTCTCATATTCAGTTTCATTCATACTTAGATTCATTCATGCTCAGACTCGCTCTCACTCAAACCCACTCGTATCCAGACTCGCGCGTACCCAGACCCCAAGGAGGAGCCGCCACGAGGTACGACATCTGCCCATTCGCGCCCAGACTGTGTTGATGCCTTAAGCGCTTTGCTTGTATGGAGGCCCAGACCCCTTCCTTTTCGGAGGTCCATGCTCATCGCGATGTAGCAGGCGTGGCATTGGAGCACCCGCGGAGGAGCCGCCGAGGGTAGGACATTCGCCCGTTCTTGCCCAGATTGTTTTGATGTCTCAGGCGATTTGCCTGTTTGGTGGCTCAGAGTCTTCCCTTTCCAGAACCCTATGCTCCCCTCGATGTAGCAGGTGTGGCATTCGAGCACCCCAAGCGGGGAGGGGTAGGGCATTCGCCCCATCGCGCCCAGATCGTGCGGATGTCTCCGGAGGTTTGCCTGTTCGGTGGCCTGGACACTTCTCTTTTCAGAGTCCCATGGTCATCGCGATGTAGCAGGCGTGGCATGTGTGCTCTCCACGGAGGAGCCGTCAGGGGGGAGGACATTTGCCCGTTCGTAGCACGATTGAGGGAATGTCTTAGGTGGTTTTCTTGTTGCATGGCCCAGACTCTCTCTCTTTCCAAGGGCCCCGTGCTCATCGTGCCGGTGTGGTATCTGAGCCACCTGGGGAGGAGCCGCCAGAGAGCGGGGCACTTGCGCGTTCACGCCCAGATTGTGGGAATCTCACCTGATTCGGTGTCTCGGACTTTTCTGTCTTTCGAGAGCTTTATGGTCACGCTACACATCCGGCGTAGCACTTGGATACCCCAAGGAGACGCCGCCAGGGGTGTATCACTGACCCACCCGCGCCCGGATCGTGGTGATGTCTCAAGCAGGTTCGCCTGTTTCGGCGCGTCGGGCTCTTTGTTCTTGAGAGCTCTGTGATCATCACGATGAAGCAGGTTTGGCGCTTGGGTACCCCAACGGGGAGCCGCGAAGGCACCTCGGGCTCCTTGTTTTTTGAGGGTGCTGTGATCACCGCGATGCAGTTCGCGCCGATGTCGTGGGACCTCTCAGGCGAACCGCTGTCTTAGGCACCCTCGGCCCCCCCTTCCTCCTCTTCTGTGGGGCCCAACCTCACCACGATGTGGCAGGCATGGCGCCTGGGCGCTCCAAGGGGGAGCCGCCAGGGAGCGCTCCGTCGCCACGGGCCGTTCTCTCCTTCAGGCGTCGGTCGTTGAAAGTGGGTAATGTCTGGCTCCCCACATCCCAGTCTACTTCGGCCGCCCTCCTACTTCAAGGGTCGAGCGGTTTGCCCTCTGCCCTCCTCGTCAGGGGGCGGGCGGACACCCAATCTACTTCCAGCGCCTTCCTGCTTCATGCTTCTACCCACTTCCGGCCGACGGGTAGTTCTCCCTCTAAGGACAAGGGCAAGGACAAGGGCAAGGACGATGGCAAGGGCTGGTGGGGCTGGTGGGGCTGGTGGGGCGGCTCCTGAGCCGAGGCGCTGGAGAGCACAGGCGGTCCACACCGGTGGTTGCGCGGCGCCGTCGCTGCGCAGGGCTCCGCTCGTGCCCTCCGGAGCTAAAGGCTCCCCAGCTGGAGCTAAAGGCTCCCCAGCTGGGCCATGCACGCCAGGGAGCTGCGCGCCCCCTTCCCATCGGAGGGCACCAACTATCCACCTGCACCGATCCTGGCCAGGCCGATCCTGGGCCCAGGATCGGTGCATATGCCTTCTGTCCAGGGCAGGAGGGCGTATACACCGCTCCTGAGCCCAGGGCGATCCTGGCCAGGATCGGTGTTGGTGCATAGTCGGTGCCTAAGATCAAAGCCCCCAAACGGAAGTATCAACGTAACCCAGGCCCCGAGTATATTGTTGCTGAAAGGTGAAAGAAGCTCGAAGGTTTTTCAATGCTTCCCGTCAGACAGCCAGTCGGGGCCCAGGTTTCGTTGATTGCTTCGCCTGGTGGCTTTGCCTTTCCATCCCAGACCCCCCACGCGTTATGGCGACGGGAGGCTCTCCGTATCTTCGGGCTCTCCGGGGGCCCTCGACGGGCGCGGGGCCGTCGGAGAGCGGGCTCGGGACGAGAGGCTGGCCCCGGGTAGCGGGTCGAGCCCTCCGGGGGGTCCGCGTCGTGAAAATCACCATCCCAGCCGAACCACCCCAGCCGAACCCGAGGGCCCCAATTGGCTCTCGATTTCCCGTGGTGGGGGGTCGGGGAACATTGAGGAAACACACGGAACCCGTACCCACCCCCCCCACCCGAAATTCTGGCGAAATTCGGGTCTTCGGGTTGGGTTGGGGTGGTTTGACAGGTTCGTCAGAGCAGATCATGAAGCCGGGGGTCTGGGCTCATGGAAGGCGTTGCGCCCTCGGGCCGCCTCTGGCTTTCGTGAAGGAAGGGCCGCGTAGACATAAGCTTTCGGAAGTCCGCGCTCAATTTTTGGATCTGCGCTGGACGCCCCTGGCGGCGCCTCCAGCGCCGCCCCTGGAGCGCTCCGCACGCCAGGGAGAGGGGTCCATCGCCGATACAAGACATCCACGAGGACCTCCGAGGTTTAATGTTTACGCGTGGTTCCCTTTTTCTCAGCAGCTTGCCATGTGCAGTACTGTCCCTGCTGGCACGGTTCTGTCCAGTACTGATGAGCCGGTACTCGGGTTCCTACGGGCATGGCTCTTCGATGAACTGCGTGTCACCATCTGCCAGCAAGGAGTGTGCGCCAAGAGTTCGCCAATGAGTGTTACCTCTGGAGCTTGCCGCGCACATGAATATCGCAAAACAAAACAAACTGATATCTGGCCGTCTTGCAGTCAAAGACGCTGAAACAAGGGGGAAAGGCCCACGAGGGGCTCCGACACCTCGCCGAACCCCCTGTCCAGGTCCAGGGGAGGGGGTAGGGGGAGGGGTAAACCCCTCCCCGAAGGGGAAGAAGGAGGGGTGGAAGAGGAAGCTCCCTAAGCCACCTACGCCCAGAGGGCTGGTGGGGCTGAAATCTGGCCGTCTTACAGTCAAGACGCCGAAACAAGGGGGGGAGGCCCACGAGGGGCTCTCGTTCTCGGTCCGTTCCTCGGGTCCGCGTCGGGAAACCGATGTTTTTCGCCGAGGCGTGCCGTGGGCAGAAGCGCCCCTCCGACGTCGTGATTTGTACGCGACGTCGACCCCCGAAGGTTTCCTCCCGATTCCCTGGGACAGGCTCTTCGTCCAATGCAGCTTGGGTTGCACTCCCGGGTGCCAGGTGAGGGCCCCCGGATGCCGCAAACAGCAAAAGGCACCGCCCGCCATTTTTTCTCGCGTCTCGAGGGGACCTGGGATGGTAGCACAATGATCGCAAAGTCCGAGAGCACGCGCGGACGTCCGCGGACCGTCTATCGGCCAGCGCCAGAAGACCCCCTCCTCCGCCTCTGCAGGCTCCCCCACGGTCCGATTCGGCCCCATGCGGTGCTGTTGTGCATCCTGGCGCGGCCGATCCGATTCGATTCCGACTCTGTGCCGATGCGTCCCGATCCGATGCACGAGGAGGCAGTGTTTCTTCAGAATCTTACTGATTTGCTTGCATGGAGGGGGTTGGGAGGGGGGGGGGGCGTGGCGGGGCCCAGAAGGAAGTCTGGATTCCGCTCAAGTCGCAATCAATTTGCACGCCTTTTCGGCCCAGCGTTGTCTGAGAAGGCGGCGGAGAGGGGGGGGGAGGGGGGGAGGGGGGTGGGAATGCCGTGCAATAGAAGTTGCCTGAGCCTAAAGCCTGAAGACAAGCAGCCTCCGTGCTTCGCCGGGGCGCGGGTGCCCTCGGCGTTGGGTGGAGCGACCTTGTAACCCCCACCTCACCACCCACCAAACCACCCCAACCCAATCCGAAGGCCTCAATTTGCTCTCCATTTCCAGTGGGGGTGGTCGGGGAACTAAAAGAAACACATGGAAGCCGCACCCACCCCCAACCCGAAGTTCGGGTCAAATTCGGGTCTTCGGGTTGGGTTGGGGTGGTCTGGTAGGTAGTCACCAGTTGCACCCGGCCAGGGTTGTGTGATTCGAGTCTAGAGGCCAGTGTTTTTCAATGCCGATGCCCAACTAGACTCCCTGAGCTTGAAGGTCACGAGCATGGGTCGTAACCATTTTTGGCTTAAGACCCAACTTCTACTCATTCCTCATCAGTCACACCATATCCCACCTTCCATCCCTTTCCCTATACCGTTCTGTGCTTGATCTGTGCAGTGTTGGACGCTGCGTACTGAGAAGAGAGTGCGAGAGTTCTCTTGCTGGTGGAAAAGGATCCGACACTTTGGCCCCACCGCTGTCGTCCGTCGGGCGACAGTGGTAGCGGAGCTGTGAGCAGCTCTGGTTCCGCGGACCAGTGACGGCAGCAGCGGGGCAGGGTGCGAATCGGGGGACACAGCAAGATGGACGAGGGGAGCATTCCGCAGTACGAGCAGTGACCGACACACTGATGAGGCATGACGGTCTCAATGTAGACCAGGACGAGGCGGAGAAGTTGGCGCGTCTTTTACTATTGGACGTGGTGCCGGCCAGTTCTCAGAGTCACCAGCGAGACTCGCACGGGGACAGTGCCGGCGGACAGTGGCACGGCCACGGACAGAGCTCAAGTGTTCCGTGGTCAGGGGCCGAGGAGCACTCGTGGACGGGTTGGCGAGCACCACAGCCAGAGCACGAGTCGACGAGTGCCGGGACATGGTCCGGTGTTGGCGCAGCTGCGTCCGCCACCGAAGCGCCCCAGGGCAGGTCGGAGCAGTGGCAGCCAGGTGGCTGGAGCGCGACGAGGAGCACGTGGCATGAGCCAGACCAGAAGTCTGGCGAGCAGCAGTGGGCTTTTTCGCGATCCGCCTGGACTCCGGCTTCGACCTGGGAGAGCTACGAGGACCGGGCTTGGAAAAACGAGTACAATGGCGGGGGCGACTGGCCGTCCGGATCGAGATGGAGCGACAACTACCTGGACAGCAAATGGGAGCCCAACAGGCGCTACTCCGGGTACGACGGCGACCGCTCCAGCACGAACTCCGGCAAGGACTTCGCCGATCCCGAGAAATGGAGAGGCTGGGGGGACTACCGTATGTGGCGCCGCACGGTGCTGCGCTGGAGGACACTGACTGACGGACGTTCCCTCTCACAAAGAAGCCGACCGTCTCTTCCGCTCTCTCGATCAGGATCTTCAACGAAAACTTGAGGACCTCGACGATGATATGTTGTGCAGTTCCTGGGGATTTGATGCCATCATAAAACGCCTTGATTTGATGTCTGGCGAAAGACACGGTGACGAGCGACGGCAGGTTGCTCGAGAGTGCTTACTGGACTATTCGCGCAAGCAGGGAGAGAATCTCACTGAATACTGTGCGCGCCTGGACACGGCTTTCGACCGGGTGGCCACTCAGAGGTTGCCGCTTCCAGATGCGTGGATACTGATGTTCTTGGAGGAAGGAGTTTCTCTCGACGAGCGCTCGGCACAGATGGTCAAAGTGCTCATGAAGGGCCAGAAGGACTACAAGTCAGCTCTCTCTGCCATTCGTGAGATGGACATTTCGCATCGAGAGCATCTCAAAGCACGGAGGACCTACGCCACTATGGGCTCAGAAGTTCCTCCACCTCAGACGCCCAAATATCAGGTCGACCGTGACGACGAGTCTCTGCTCGACTACTCGGATGTCTCTTCTATGAACTCGGACGGGGAGGCAGAGGTCCGGGCGATCCTGGAGTCAGCCGACGTCGGGGAGGACGACGCGCCGGCGGCGCTGGCCGCCATCAACCAGGAGCGCCGCAAGACGTGGAAGCAGAACCGCGACTTGAAAGACAGCTGAAGACCGACCGGAAGTTCTACGACAGGTCTGGCCAGGGCCGTGGCAGTGATGGGCGCGAGAAGGCTCGCAGGCCCGGCCACAGGGCAGCGGGCGGCGCGTTCAGAGCGCGGAAGAGCCGCCTTCCGCTTGCTGAATTGATCAAGCGCACGAGATGCCGCATTTGTCATCAGAAGGGACACTGGTCTCGAGAGTGCCCACAGCAGCAGGGTGCAGGGACCAAGGGCGAAAAAGGGTATCCTGCCACAGGCTTGACCTTTTCTGTATGTGAACGCTCTAGATCACACCGCCTCCCACTGCTACGATGAGCCTCCTCCTCCAACCTATGCGGTCGTTCTGCTCGCTGTAGGTCCCGGGGCCATGGTGGTCGATACAGCGGCCGGTCAGGGCCTTGTAGGAGAGCAGGCTTTGCAGCAGATCGAGGGGCACTGGGCCTCGAAAGGGGTTCGCCGTCCCAAGGGTCCCGCCCAGGAACCGAAGCGCGCGCGGAGTAGGTGGGGGGGTAAAGGTCACCCACACCGCTCTGATCCCTCTAGGCATTGAGGGGCGCATGGGGGTTCTGGAGCTGGACGTTCTGGACCAGGACGTTTCGCCACTTTTGCCGATAGGATTTCAAGAAATGCTAGGTGGAATCGTAGATCTTCCGAACAAGGCTCTGACTTTTACGAAGCTAGGGGTCGCGGCGCCTCTGACTAGGCTCCCGTCGGCCCACCGCGCCATACAGATGGACGAGTTTTCGGTTCCCGCCAAGGACTTTGAAGCTCCAGACCCCGTGTTTAGGTCGTACCCTCAGTTGCAGAAGGGCGCGTTTCAAGCCAAGGGGAAGTACATCATCACGTCTTCTGTCAGCATTGGCCAAGGGGGATCGCGCGACGGAAGCTGCTGGGGGAGTCCGAGGGGGGCGGAAGAGTGGCCGGGGGAGTCCGGGGCCTTTTTCTGGGAAGATCTTAAGTCAGACGAAGCCAGGACGTACGCCGGGGCCTTAGTTGGGCCGGACAACTCAGGTTCCAGGACCGTTCCACTAAGGGGTCTGGAGTCGGGCGGCACCTCCGACTCCGCGCTGAGCAGCACGTGTACTTCGGGACTCGCCAGGGCTTTGAGTTCCAGGTCGAGACGTTTCAGGGCCAGGGGAGGGTCGACAGCGCGGGGTTGGAGGTGGCCGACGTGGGCCACGATGCCAGCCTCGAGTTCATCCACTTGCCTCGCAGCACTTGGGCTCGAGTTATTGAGCTCGCAGCGATTCAGCAACAGCCTCCACAACTCAGAGGCCGACCAGGGAGCAGATCGCGATGCCGCCAGCTGCTTCGACGACACGCGTGGCAGGCCAGAGGGGGCGTCGCGGAGCTCAGGAGCGGCCTCGTACGATGACGGACCGCATGCAGAGCCAGACGGACTCGGCCTGGGTCTACGGGGCCACCGGAACCTACGTCCCGGAGAACCTCAATAAGGGCGAGAAGGGATGGGCCTGTTTGGCCGGGTGGGTGCTATATTGGTCGGCGCGCCTGGCAGAGGAGTCCGGGAGCATGTGCCGTGCCAAACGCTTCTGGCCGACCAACCTGCCCAAGTCTCTTCGTCGCCTCTCGGAGATGTACGAGACGTGCTGGCACCCACCGACGCTCGTAAGCTACGGAGCCAACTCACGGGGGAAGTGGTTCCTATGCAGCGCTTGCACGATGAGGGTCGGATACTGGGAGCTGAGGCCGACAAAAGAGACAGCGAAAGAGGAGAATATGTGTCTGTGCAAGAAGAAGGATGCAGCATGCACGCTGCGTGGGCAAGGCTGGGCTCAGGGCGCGACCGCCGAGCCACAGTGGCACTGGTCTGCGTGCCCAAGCCACCTCCTGGGGCCGAGAGGGCTCCGCTACCTCTTCACCCAGGTATGATGGCCGGAGGTCTGGCGAGCGGCTCGATTCTGGCGGCTCGGCAGCCGGGATATCAGCGAGTGGCGGAGGACGCGGCGGAGGTCACCGAGGCTCTGCAGAAGGACCAG